CCCCTTTGGCCTCTAAAATTGAGCTGGGTCAAACCCCTAACCGCCAATTGAGGGTTATCTGATCAAGTATACATGGATCTGGCTAACATCGCAACAATGAAAGCCAAAATCCACACCAAGACACACACACACAGATTTTGTGCAGACTTCTTGGGAGCAAGGGACATCCACAACGGCAGAGACACAAAACGACACGGAACAACACACTTTATAGCTTGTTTGTTGACCTCATTGGAGCAAGAGACAAAATTGGGAAAGCAGACCGGCAAAACCCCTTCGCGAAGTTGCATGAAAAGGATTGGCGTGACCTCGTTTCACGCATCTGAGCTAACTATCTATGATACGACTATCATACCTATGCTTGTCAAAGGAAGTGTGGAAGTGGCATGCCGTTTACTGGACAGTGAGGTAGCTTCAGAGCGATTTCCCGTGGAGAACAAGGAAGCTGCATGTTTCTCCGAATGCCGCGTTCTGCATGGTTTCAGCCAAGTGGTTCCTCCCTAAGCTTGACACGGCTCTACATGGGCATGGCACGTGGCACAATAAAGCAAGGCTGCTTCTGACAAGGTCTGCCTAAGAAATGCCGTGCCTGAGCTAAACCTGTGGCTATGCTGCTGTGAACCAATGACTTCACATGCACCATGGCTGTCGTGGGTCTAGCTGAAGGCACAAGCATGAGCTTTCCAAGTGCCAGTGTACGTTGGGCGGAATCCGCCAATAGCTTGCAAACACAGCCATCAAGTTTTAGCTGTCGCCCTTGACACAAACCCAGGCCACCGGAATCTTCAAGCGCCCCCAATCGGACGCGGAAAAAATATCCAGCCATGCCAAGAATCAGAGAGAAGATCGCAAAGGCGATTACCTTCAGACATGTCCACATCCAGGCCATGGTTATATAGCTCTGAGCGGTCTGCCCTCAGAGTCCGGTCTTCACCAATTCTCAAGCCAATGGCTTCTGGGGTTCAAAGATTTGTTCTGGAGGTCCCCAATGACTGCTGGGCCACTGCTGGGGTTCAAAGATTTGCTCTGGAGAAGACCACTGGTCCAAAGATTTGGTGCTGGGACTGAGCCAAAATGGCTGCTTGGCGCATGGCAAGAGAACCTCGAAGCACCCAACTCACTGAGCTCAACCCAAACCAAGCATTCTATCCTCCTTTGTTCAGGGGGTAGGGCTTGAAAGTTGAAAAAGCCGACCAAAGAGTCTACAAAATGGCAGGGGGTACTAGTGCAGCTGCCTACAAAAAGGCCCACTAACAATGATGAGATCTATGTCATCGGAGCAAGAGGGCCTGACGTCCAAGAGTGGTTTTTCTAGGCTCTGACTCCTTTTCCAAGAGCCAAAGTAGCTTCATTCCTAACCCGTCATGGCGCGCGCGCACGCCTGGCTCATCACCGGCAAGCGCCTGCCGCAAAAATTGGGGAGAGCCCGTGGTGTGCCTTCAGATCAATCAGACACACGCTCTTTAAAAGGTGAGCATTTGTCAAAGGTCCTTCCTGGAATGAGTTGTTCTGGGCAAGACCGACGAATGGACGAACTCGCACTTGGGGCCTTTCATTTGTCTCACGTTCTCCCGGCCAGAAAGCCCAATGCCCAGCATAGCCAAATGACAATGCAGTGGCTGCTCATCAAGCTTAGATGCGAAGAACACACTTCTAGAACCCTTCCAAAACACAGTGAAGGCAGCACATGGCCATCAAGGACGCGTCCAGCCAAAGTCCGTGGCTGCCACTGTTGGCTATCCAACATGCGTCGGTGTTGCCCGTTTCAAGGATTTAACATTCAGCATGTCAGTGGGCATGGAGTGCAAGTGTTGCCAAGGACTCCTTGCTTCGCGCCTTCTGACATCCCCAGTCTTGCAATGGAACCATCAACCTGACATCACTTCCTGCCAAATGGCCGTGGCTCAAAATTAAACAGGGGGGGTTACTCAGGGTTTGGTCCATGTTTCCACTTACCAGGGTTCCATTTTGGAACCGGTTTTTTGAGCCACAGCCAAATGGATCATCGTCCGTGCTCCTGTCTTCGCATCCATGAGTGCTGGTGATCTGAACATCATTCGCATGCTTCGGCTTGCCTTCGATCGTACCAAGCAGATCTCAAGCCTGTTGCAACGAGGTCAGCGATCCCCATCTGGGTGTCCCGCGACAAATGTGTCCCTCAAAAGGGCTCGCTTCATCTTCGCCTTTTTCTGAGCACCCGGCCACTATCACTATTTTTCAAAAGCGGTTGGTCCAAAGCAAACCGCTTGCTAAAAAGGTCTCAATCTGTGGAACGCTCCGAATGCAAGTTCGCCTGGCCTGCAGCTTCGCAGGCGGGATGGCGAGATGGCACACCGTGATGTATTGGCTCTTGAACGATGCATGAAGGATCGCTTCCGCTTTCTGTTGGCTGAGTTTGCTTCTACTTCCCCGCAAGGTCGTTCGATGTGAGCGCATGTTTCTTCCTGCATCTTTGCGTGGTTGAAACTCTGTCGACTACCAACTGCCTGCAGGAAACTCAGGCTGACAGCATTCAAGCTGACATGTCTGACCCTTTCAAGTGGGATACATTGATGGCCGACGTCAATCCCCGAAGAATAATGCTTTGAACATAATGGGAGTGTCTAGTCTTTGAGACCCCTCAAAAGTAAAAGCAGTGGCTTTAATTGCGGTTTCCCTTCAAAACGACCAAAACAGGGGGTACTCCAAAAAAGAAGCACAGCACCCAAGTTTGTACAAGCATGAATCAAGCTTACCCCTTAAAACTCCAAGCCCCGACAAGGTTACTCTCTTACAGACATATAGCCCATGTTGCCGAAAAAGTTGAAAAGTTGTGTTTTTTTTTAAGAGGTAAGCAAGTTCCCATGAGGCAACATCACCCCCGAGGCATACACGGAGCTGGACCGTGTTCCGGGAAGAAGCTTCCAGCAACAAACGAGCAGCCAAAGCACCGACAAGGGCTCAAGAAAGCAAATGATCCCATTTGGAATTTGTTTGTTCCTTCTCCAAGCGTCAGCAATGTCATCTACACCGCTGCCGCAACACTCAAAGACAAAGATGGCTTGCATGGTTTTGGGAATGAGTCAGGGGTCCCTTCAAGGAAACCACAAGAGATGGTTTAGAAGGGTCATTCCCTCATTCCCTGCTGGGCACCAGCAAAACAAGGAAGGCGAACTGGGAGGGGGGCTATCCCGTATTAACCCCTGAATTAAAGCCTTAAGGGCTTATCAACTGGGCTTTTCCTGGGATAGCCTCCACCCCCCCCCTCCCGCAAGAGCCCCGACTAGGGGTCCATGAAACAAGGATGATCAAGTCACAAATCATTGTCCCTTCAAGGCACTAAACCCACCCCCTGGTTTGACTCCCCACGTCTGATTGTGGTTCCAGCCACGCGAAGAAAGCAACATTTCAAATCCTGAAAGTTTGGGCAAGTGGGCTCAGGGCAACACAAAGTGGACTTGCTGGTTCCCAGCGGGCAACCCCGATAAACCATCCCCTGTGTTTTCCTTTGTGGGAATCCCTGGTTCATTCCCAAAACCCTTTGTCGTTCCTTGCTGAGCACCAGCAACTCAATCCAGCTGAGCACCAGCAAGTATAACCCACATGGACCTTGATCAAACTCGCAATCAAGGGGCAGGTTTGAGCCCTTGCAACTGGCACGGCCAGCTGCGATAAAGAAACCGACTCCGAAACCCGGAGGGAGAAGTCACTCTCGGCTTTAGGACTGCATGCAGAAGCCTCCAATCTCCAGAGTTCTTGGGTCACTGCGACTCCACTATAATTCCAAAAGCTGATTTAAGAAATGGATCCCCAAGCAACGGACCTTTGCCATGGGCTCGTTCTACCCCCCGTTTTTTTTTTGCTATAACTCTAGGGGTTGACTCCGATCCCGTTCTCTTCAACCACCGTCCTTTCCTCAAAAACCGGAGCCGTTTTCAACGGATCGGGTTTCCGGCTGCTCTTCTGGAATGGTTCTGGTAGGATTCTCCCCCAGAAGGCTTTCTCTAGAATATCCCCTAGATATTCGGTTGATCCCTTTCTTCCCTGGCTCTCTAGAATGGAAATGGAAGTTACCCCTAGAATCACACAGCCGGACTATGCCAAGACCAATGAAGCCGGGGAGGTGTTTTTGATCGCTGACCTCCATGCGGAGAAAGAATCGGAGGGCATCTGGTGGTTTTCACAGGGCCAAAAGCAAAGCTTAAAGGTGGCTTTAAAAAGGGAGCCCAACAGGAACATCGTGGTTTTAAGGTTGATTTTGAAGGGGAACCCAAAAAGCAAAATTTCAGGTCGTTGCTCTGGTCAGTTTTGGTCGTCCCCCAAAAATTAGACAGTTGAACCCCCTTTTTAACGGAGGGTCCCCCCCAAAAAAACCAACAAACCACGGAAACCACCGCCCGGGCGTCCCCGCTGTGCGTTCCTCAGCGCCTCCTGCTGCGGGCTGGTCAGCTGCCCTAAGAGCTCCTGGACGAAACTGAGGTTGCAATCTCTCGAGCGGTCGGCAGGCCGGGGCTTTGCTTGTTTTTGCCAACGCCGACCCTAACGACCCCAGGAATTCTATGCTTTTGTCTTTGGGGGCTGGGGTGGGGAGGGGGGGGGGGATGATAGCATGCTTCTCACGGCTCACCCACTCTCGACACTGCGGACCAGCGCAACATCAACAAAAGCACTCCCCTCCAAAAAGAAAAGAGGTGGTGTGTTCCTTAATAAACCGCAGGGGTTACTTGTTTTTCCTGCAAAAAACAACATCAACAGAAGGAACCCCCCTCCCCCCCAAACCAAGTGGTTGTTCCTTGAGTTTCCCTCAAAACCACAAAAAAAGGAAATAGCTTCGAAAAAGACACCCAAGTCGGAACCAAGGGGGCAATAAATGGCTGTGGTTCAAAAACATGTAACCTAGGCTGGCACCTTGGTACATGGAACCAAAGACCAACACCTGTGTAACCCTAGCTCTTTGATTTTGAGCCACACCCATATTAAAACCAAGAAAATTGGAGAATTATGGGAACCCAACTGAAGCCTGGTTGCTTCATATCCAAGTTTAGAGAGATTCTCTTAAAACCAGTCTTCAACCTGAGTTTGTTTGGGTGGTTCTCTGGTCCCCGGAAATGGTTGAAAATTGAAATTATCAGAGAAGCTCTCCCTCTTGTGGGCTATGAAGGAAACGCGAGACCAAAATAGAAGTGACTAAGGGGATCGGGATCTCCGTTGCGCTTAAATCTTGGAGTGACAAGGGAGGCCTCGCGGGAGTTCTGTCACAGCACAGTCAAAGATGCTGTAGCCCAAGACAAGAAACGAGCAAAGCAAACGGGCGGGGTTCATAACTATGAGTGGTGGCCTGGCAGAAAACGACTGGCATCTGTGCAACCCAAAAAAACAAAACCGCACGAGCCGTGGACAAGAGGCTGATACAGTAGCGTTGACATCAAAATCACCCGGATGAATTTTAAACATAACCCCAACAAGAGTGAGAGGCAACTGAGCAACTGCATCTTGGATCAATTCACATGTGCTGAATTTTCCATGAAATTCGGTGAGGTGTCAAGGTGTCAAGCTTCCCTCCGTTTGGAACGAACACTCAGAGGACAACTCCCGCGAGTTGGAGCCTGATGGGTGCTCCGGAAACCGTGGCAAAGAAAACATGGACCAACCAGCACCCTCCAACCACTGCTTCTTGGAGCGTACCAAAAAGACCTTATGGACAATTGGACATGGTTGAAAAAGCAACTCCGCTTTCCCATTTGCTTCTTGGACAGTACTTGTGATTTTGGACATGATTGAAAAAGCAATTCTGCTTTCCGATTCCGAGTCTCTGCTCAAAGGGAAACAGGACTGGAGCACAGAAGACGGAACGGGGTGCTTCTGGCACTCGCGACAGTTCGCCGAAGAGTTGCTGAGCAATGGTTGGTG